GCAGGTCGTCGAGCCAGACCTCAAAGTCAATGGCTCGACCCTTAGCGTCAAAAGCGAGGACACTGGGTGTAGCCATGACGACGACAGTGGAGCAGTGCAAGCAGTAGGGGAAGGGTACGCAGTGACAGCAGTGCAGTGCTCACCGGGCAGGGCAGGTCGGGCGGCTCGGGAGGAAGGTCGCCTGGCGAAACGGCCGCTAAGCTGCTGGGCGGCTCGGCTCCCGGGCGGCTCGGCTGCTGCTGGGCGGCTCGGCGGCTGCTGGCGGCGCGGCTGCTGCTGGGCGGCTCAGCGGCTCCGGGCGGCTCGGCTGCTGCTGGGCGGCTCGGCGGCTCCTGGGCGGCTCGGCTGCTCTGGGCGGCTCGGCTGCTGCAGGTGGGCGGCTCGGCTGCTGCAGTCGGGCGGCGCGAGAGCAAGGGGCGGCGGGGCCGTTAGGGCTGGGGCGGCGGGGCCGTGAGACCAGGGGTGGCGGGGCCGCGTAACAGGGGCGGCGGGGCCGGGAGCGCTGGGGCGGCGGGGCCGCGAGATCAGGGGCGGCGGGGCCGTGAGCGCTGGGGCGGCGGGGCCATGAGATCAGGGACGGCGGGGCCGCGGGCGCTGGGGCGGCGGGGCCGCGTATCAGGGGCGGCGGGGCCGGGAGCGCTGGGGCAGCGGGGCCGCGAGATCAGGGGCGGCCGGGCCGTGAGCGCTGGGGCGGCGGGGCCGTGAGATCAGGGACGGCGGGGCCGCGGGCGCTGGGGCGGCGGGGCCGCGTATCAGGGGCGGCGGGGCCAGGAGCGTTGGGGCGGCGGGGCCGCGAGATCAGGGACGGCGGGGACCGCGAGTGCTTGGGCGGCGGGTCCGCGTATCAGGGGCGACGGGGCCGGGAGCGCTCGGGCGGCGGGGCCGCGAGATCAGGGACGGCGGGGGCCGCGAGCGCTGGGGCGGCGGGGCCGCGAGAGAAGAGGCGGCGGGGCCGCGTTCACTGGGTGGCGGGGCCGCGAGGGTAAGGCCGGCTGCTAGGGCTGCTCGGGGAAGGAGTGGCCCGAGGCGCGACTCGGGATGAGCGCGCTTCGGGCAGAAAAAAAAAGATTTCGAGTGGTGGGCCCTAGGCACAGTCCCCACAGGGGAACCTGCTCTATACCATGTGGAAAACTGAACGAGAATGAATCAACTATGAATGAAGTGAGTACAAATATGAAACCCTAATTGGGTTGTACCCCCTATGGGATACCCCACTATAGCCTACACAAATAAGTAAGCTACAATGTTCTGACATAGTGGACTCAAACCAAGGGTCGGTGATAATAGTGGCTAGGAGACGGGTGACAGCAGGACTGGCAGCACGAAGTAAGTCAGACTCAGGGTCTGGACCGTCAGGAAGAGAGGACGCAGGAGGAGATGGCAGGGGAACTTGCAGTGGAACAGAGGAAGGACGAAGTGTCATACAGTGAGTGCCAGGAACAGGAGGGGGATACGGACGCGGAACATGACTACCAGTGCGACCAGCGCGAACAGGCGAGGCAAGGCGAGACGCAGGCTCACACGCGAGTCTGGCTGGTAAATGTAAGGAGAAGGAGCAGGCAGTGGGGAGGCTTGCTGTAACTGTGGCTGTGACTGGTCTGGCGGTGGACACAGTAGAGGCGGAGTAAGGTCAGTAGAAGACGGGAGACCCAGAACCTGGCGAAGCAGTGGAACGAAGTACGGTCGCGGCAGCACAGCGCCTCCAGCACCAGTACTGACAGCTCCAGCACCCCCAGCGCCAGCACCTCCAGCTCTAGGGTCTCCAGCTCCAGCAGTTGCAGCCCCACCAGCTCCAGTACCTCCAGCATCTCCAGTAGCTCCAGTACCTCCAGCACCTCCAGCAGCTCCAATAGCTCTAGCACCTCTAGTAGCAGCAGTACCACCAGCTCTAGTAGCTTTGGTACCTCCAGCACCAGCAGCACCACCAGCTCCAGCAGCTCCAGTACCTCCAGTACGAGCACCTATGAGACCAGCAGCTCCAGCACCTCCAGCAGCAACACCACCACCAGCTCCAGCAGCTCCAGTAACTCCAGTACGAGCACCTCCGGGACCAGCAGCTCCAGCACCTCCAGCACCTCCAGCACCAGCAGCACCACCAGCTCCGGCAGCTCCAGCGCCTCCAGCAGGAGCAGTCCCGGGACCAGCAGTGCCAGCACCACCAGCACCTCCAGCTCCAGCAGCACCAGTGCCTCCAGCGCCAACGCCTCCAGCGGCAGGGCTTCCAGCTTCAGCAGCGCGACTCTGAAGGCAGGTGCACCAAGCGTACCACTCACGTAGCTGCTGTGGTGAGAGAGGCTCCCGCCGGCTAGACCGCTGGGGCGAGGCACCAGTAGGACCTCCAGGGATAGTAGCTCCAGCACCCCCAGTACCTCAGTACCAGCAGTACCTCCAGCACCTCCACGTTTAGCAGCTCCAAGGCCTCCAGCTCTAGCAATGCCACTCCAAAGGCGGGTGCGCCGAGTGTACCAATCGCGCAACTGCTATGGTGAGAGAGGCTCCCGTAGTGTAGACGCAGTACCCCTAGGCTCAGCACCCCCAGACCCAGCACCCCCCAACCTCCACACCCGCAGGCTCAGCACCCCCAGGCTCCGCACGCTCAGGCTCAGCACCCCTGAGCTCCGCACGCGCTGGCTCAGCACCTCTAGGCTCCGCACGCTCAGGCTCCGCAACCGCAGGCTCAGCACCCCCAGACGCAGCACCGCGAGCAGCACCAGAGTCACCACTGACCTCAACAGGCTCAACCAAGGGGACTGGGTCTATCTGAGACACACCTGAAGGAGCAGGACCCTGAGGGGGGAGGGGGTATACCGGAGGGGGACCTGGAGCGAGGAGGAGCGGCGAGGAGGGGGGGCGAGAGGGGCAGTGCGGTAGGGGAAGAGACGGTAAAAGGGAACCGACTCGTCAAACGTGACGTCCTAAGAGGGCAGGACACGGCGCGAGGTGGGGTGGTAAAGCTGCCAGCCAAGCGCGTTATTTGGAAATCCAAGGAAGATGCAGAGAATGGCGAAGGAGGAGAGCTTGTCCACGGAGACATTGCGGACAAAGGCTTGACAGCCCTAGACACGGAACACCGACGCATCGCCAACCTCTCCTGTCCAATGCAGTGTAGGCGAGGTCTCCGGCAAGGAGACACGGGGCCAGAGGTTGAGCTGATACGCAGCGTACCGGACCGCAAACGGCCACAGAAAATGGGGAGCAGCCGCATGGATCATGGAGGTACGAGTGACCTCCATGATTAAGCCAATGCGGCGCTCAGCAACCCCATTTTTCAGCGGAGAGGTCGGAAGCGTGAACGACTTGAGGATGCCCTCCCCATGACAAAAGTCCCGCAAGAGGTCGGAGGCAAACTCACCACCTCTGTCAGAGTGTAGACGTAGGATAGGAAGGTCCGTGTTGAACCACTCCCGGAGCTGGATTCGGACAGCGCGGATCCAAGGGATCAAGACATCAGGGACCTCCCCCTTGCTGCGCAAAGGGAAGACCGTGGTGTAACACGAATAGTTGTCAACAACCAGCAGAAAGTATCGCTCGCGGCCCTGTCCCTAGACGCGGGCTGGGCCCCACACGTCCATGTGGATAATCTGCAGGGGAGCAGTCGTCGGGGGAAACGTGGAGGAGTGAGGAGCGGCGCGCTGCCGCCCCTTGACACAGGGAAGGCAGGGAGGGGCAGGCAAGGGTGGGAGGGGAGGCAAGGACCTGGGAAGACCAGAGACAAGGAGGCGGGAGTGCATGCCATGGAGGCGTGGTAGGGAGGGATGACCAAGGCGTTGGTGTCAAAGGAGAGTCTGGTGCGACAGGAGGCGACACGAGCAGGGGGCTGCTAGCTGACCTGACGCGGACGCAGACGCAGCTACCTGAGGAGGCTCAGTAGTCAGTGTGTACAGGCTCGACCCAGGTCGACGGGTAAACGTGGCTAGGTGACGGCCTGTCCGTGCACACGTGCAGATCGCCACACGCTGTCCTCCAGGGGTAAATGTATCAACCCAAGCATCCTGAAGGACGGCGTTACTCACCAAGTTCGTAGAGAACAAGGGAGGTGAAGACCTGTTAGTGAGCCACAGGGGACTGCCGGACACGGAAGAACAGCGGAGGAACGTGCAAGAACCGGTCCCCCAGAAGGGTCAGCTAGAGAGACTGCAGCCGGTGCTGCGAGTGGTGTGACTGTGGTGTTGTCGCGAAAGAATCAGCGGGAAACACCTGAGTCAAGTGTGAAGGTGTGCAAGGCCTCAGCAGGCGCAGTACCAGAGAGAGCAGACTCACCAGCACCTAGAGTAGTAGCCTCTATACCAGGGTCGGGCGGCACGCACAGGTAACAGTCACCCTTAGTACCAATAGACAAAGCATACATGGCAGTGAGGATAGCGTCATAGTTTAGAGCAAAAATATCCACACCCTTCCTAAGCAGCTCTAGCCAGCGGGGGAGCTCAGCCGCGTCGGGTCTGCGCGAGAGGCGTCGCTCAGACAGGAGAAGCAGCAGGACTGTGTATGACCAGCTGTCCCGCAAGTCTGACCAGCCCGATCACCTATGCGAATGACGTATGGGCATCGAGCACTACTCCGAGGCGCCCCACGCTGAGCGTACCACTCACGAAGCTGCTGGGGCGTAAGTGTCTCATGCAAACGCTGCTGCAGCTGCACCAGACCATCGCCAGAAGCTCCCAACTGAACAGCTGCACAGCGACTGCCACTACTGCCGCCACCACAACTCCTACTAGCGTACCACTCACGTAGCTGCTGGGGTGGAAGGGTCTCGCGCAGACGCCGCTGCAACTGGCCACCGCCAGAAACTCCCCACCGAACAGCTCCACAGCGACTGCTACTACGGCCGCCACCACTCCCACTGCTGCCACCACCGCCGCCACCACTCCCACCGCTACCACGAAGAGAATTCATAGCGGGCAAAGCAAGGAGACGTGCGACCAGCAAGGCAACACTCAGTGAAGGAAGGGCGGCAGACATGCACTAGGGTACTGCGTAAGGTAGGGCGAGGCAGCGCACGGTCAGGGAAGGGTGGTGCGCGGCCAGGCAGGGTCAGCGCGCGGACAGCAGGGCGGCACGTGGGCTGCAGGGGCGGCGCGCGGGCTGCAGAGGGCGACGCGCGGGCTGCAGGGGCGGCGCGCGGGCTGCAAGGACGGCGCGCAGGCAGCAAGGGCAACGCGCGGGCTGCAGGGGCGGCGCGCGGGCTGCAGAGGCGGCGCGTGGGCTGCAGAGGGCAACGTGCGGGCTGCAGAGGGCAGCGCGCGGGCTGCAGGGGCAACGCGCAGGTTGCAGAGGGCGACGCGTTGGCTGCAGGGGCGGCGCGTGGGCTGCAGGAGCGGCGCGCGGGCTGCAGGGGCGGTGCGCGGGCTGCAGAGGCGGCGCGCGGGCTGCAGGGGCGACGCGCGGGCTGCAGGGGCGATGCGCGGGCTGCAGGGGGCGACGCGCGGGCTGCAGGGATACCCCGATGGCACCTCTCAACGGAACCTCTGTACGAGGTCGAAACGTTGACGCCGTCGGTCGCGGCCAGCATGCCACGACGTCCTTCTTGCCATCAGCGCGGACTGCGACGTGAGGCCCACCTCAATTCCTGGCCGACCATTGCTCTGGCGCGCAGAGCCAGATGTCGCCCATCCGAACAGAACATTCCATGCGTCAAACATCATTCGGCGGGCACCTGTCCACGCGGCGACCAAGCCTTCATCGGCCTGTTGGCGGGAACATGCTCGCGGGATACCATCCTCGGGCGACGCGATGAGCACTGCTGCGTCACGCCGACGTGTAAGCACGATCAGCGTGACAGGAACACCTGAAAGTCGGCTGCGAAAGACGCATGCGTGCACCGTGCCACGTCGTCCAGAGTGCCGCCGTTCTGCCGTGCATGAAGGGTTGGAGACCTCGACCACGGATCGCCCGCCAACACCTGTCCGCCCGAACCAGGACGGTGGCACTCTCTGCTATGACCCACCGACGGCCAACACATGTCTTTGCCATTTCGTCTCTTGTTTGTTGCGTTCCATTCACTTCCATTCTAGAAAGCAACGCTCTTGCATTCATTCCCTTAGTCATTTTCATGCTTCTCTGAGACTGACCGGCCTCGTGTGGTGCAGGGTTGACGACGAGCCACACCGGTGTAGGGTGCGTTTAGGTCGGCAAACTCGCCGGGCTTCCGACTTTGGATCATTCGCGGTTTTAGGCTAGGACGACTAGCTAGGTCGACAACATCCGAACGTGGCCAACTTCTTTCTTCGTAGCCTGAACCAGAATCGTCGTCGCCATTAATCCCCAGGACGGTCTTGAATGGCCACGGACCAGTCTAACAACATCCCGCCGAACAACACCCCGCCGAACGACACCACTCCACTTATTACCCCGCCGACCATTACCCCGCCGACCACAACCACGCCGAACAACACCCCACAGAACACTAATTCGCTGCCCGAAGTTCCCAAACTGTCCGACATTGCCGCAGAGTTAACGATCGCTGAGAGGGCCGCCTTTAGGGCCTCGGTGCAAAGGCAATACACGGCAGCGATTGTGCAGTATCGCCTTTGGACGGCGGAACACCTACCGCCGCGAGACCGCAGCAACAACTAGATGCCGACGGGAACAATTTTAGGCGTCACGCCGCTGGCGGTGAACAGGGCGATTCCCGACCTGAACGAGCCTTACTTGGTGGTGGATGTAGACGCCGCTAGGGAAAATATTCCCGCCGATCCGACCATCCCCTTACCGCCAGGGACGAAAGGGGCTCCCCAACCGGAGCCAGACCCGGAGGCGCCTTCGGCCACGTAGCAGCCGCCTCCGGTTGGCCCATTTCCAGAAAACAACATGAGTACCTGACCATAGAGGATTTGTTGGCAGCCGACGAAAAAGATGACGACTTCCTGCAAAACATCCCGCACGACGATTTTGCAGAAGCCGCCTTCGACATCAACAAAGAGCTCGCCAAGAAGAATAGATTGCTGAGGATGGTCTGGGGTATGCGGCATCTGGACACGCTTGAGGTGGGAATGACCCGCCTTCAGTACCTGCGGGCGTTGCTCGACTTCAAGAGATGGTGCTGTAAGGAACTTCCAAGACAGAAAACCGCCAGGATCAAGGGGGACGGCGTGCTGGAGCACGAGGACGAGATAGGAAGGTACATCGACGACGACATGGGTGATCTGTGTTACACCGACAAGGACGACCTTCTTTGGATGCACGGTCCACGCGTCAACGCCACGCGGATCAGGGCGTACATTTTGTCAATCGCGAGGCAGAAGGGTATTGCAAAGGCCGCGGAGCTCGAGGAGCTGAAAGCCGAGGTCCGTGTCTAGCCCCTGAAGGCGACAACTGTTTTGATGCTGCTCATGCGCATCAAAGCGCTCCAGACGGCCTGCAAGGTCGAGGAGACGCTCTTCGGGGTTAAGGAGCTCCACATCATGCACGAAATTTCCGAGGTCCGCTCGGAGGTGTTCGCGATGGTCAGGGAGAAGTGGCACAGGGACGACAGGTAAGTCCGCACGTCGTCCTGCGCGGTTCACGCAAGTTTCCCGTTCGCTGAGCTAACCCTGTCCTCGTCGAAAGTGATGTGCAGGGATTGCGTCGACCGGCACCGCGGAACGCTCGGCGACACATACACCACCGACCAGATCCGCCACCTCATGTTCAAGGTGCTGCCAACCTGGGCGGCACGGGCGTACAAACCCAAGGCGGTCTTCCCCTCCCAAACGCTGTGGAAGTTCTTGCTGATGAAGTCGATGACTCTCCTGGGTCACCACACCCTTCTCCGCGGAGCCAGCCTCCGATCGATCAAGCTCCCCGATTTGTTCTTGTACACAATGGGGAGCACGACGCCCGAGCACTCCATGCGATGACCGGTTGTCATGGTCGTCGTGTCACGAAACTTTAAGAAGAACAAGGATGCTCATCTGCACCACAGCTACGCGGCGAGACACTTGGAGGAGGAGATGTGCGCCGTCGGCCACACACTGTTGTGGCTCCACTTCGTTTACGACCAGCTGAGCCGCTCGCCCACCTCTCGATTTGTGCCACCCCTCGACTTCAGTACTCCGTACATGTGGTACCACAAGCACCTCTTTCATGCTCGGAACGACAAGATACAAAAACAGCTGCCGGCTTCATCGCATTCTCGGATCACGAAGGAGATGTGGCGGACGAACAAGATCTTCATCACGCGCAACACCCACGCCGCCCGGGCAGGTGGGGCACAGGAGCTGGCCGACGATGGCGTTCCGCAATCTGACATCGCCGACTTGGGCCACTGGGCACTCGACAAGCTTGCGAAGAGCTACATCACGACCATTCCGAAGGCGGCGATATTAAGAAAGGCCGGCTACACGGGCAAGCGCGGTGACTACCACCTCGGCCGCAGCATGGCAAAGCCCGACGACAAGGTGGTGGCCCTCATCGCCCAGCATATCTTTCCGTGGGCGGAAGCGGAACTGGCCTAGGTGAGCAATTTACACACCAAAAGCGCCGACTACCCGCCACCCATTTCCATGCCGACATTCCACCGACGGTTGATTGTGTTTCTATTTGTGTTCGTCTCTCAGGCGGAAAATTGCGCCACGGGGAAGGAACCCAACACGGACGGGCTGCACTTCCTGCAATCGCTCATTGAGTTTGGCCGTCGCATCGTCGCCGAGGAACTTGCGTGCATGCTGATGCGCGAGCCGTGGCACCTGTACGTCTAGAGTTCCAAGCTCTGCCGCAACCCTGACTTCCAGAAATGGGCCAAGGACGTCAACCGGGTGGACCTCGAAACCATCAACACGCGCCGTACTCCGGCCGAGAACCCCCAAGAGGTACGGCATGCGGGGGATCCGGCGCCCAAACAATTCGTCCGCCTTCACTTGCTGACCGTTTGCCGCCCATCCCTCCTACATCACAGGAATTTAGTGCGCGAGTCGACGCCGAATTCCAGGTTGACCAGTTCACCATGATGCTGCACCGCCAGAGGGAGGATTCTGCGATCGAGAAGCTTGAGATGCAGAAGCAATTGGAGGAGAAGGATGCGGAGATCGCGAGGTTGATGCAGGCTCTCAAGTTGGCCGAGGCACGGCCGACGCCGACTGCGCCGTCGACCACAAGGCCGATGACCGATGCCGAGAAGGCAGCGGCCGTCAAGATCGAGAAGGAGCAGGATGACAAACTCACATAAGAGGTGAACGTCGCGCATCCCTGGCGCACGTCCAAGACGTTCGAGGCTGCCTGGCACTGGTGGAACAACCCGTTGCACGTGGACGAGCGGCCTTTGCGCGAATGTTACGAGGAGCCCAGATTCCTCGTCAGACACACACGCATGATCTGCAAGGTTGAGAAGGCCGAGAAACCTGCAGCGTCGACGAAATCGGCGAAGAACTCTCGTGGCCGAAAAATGCCGACCGGCGATTGTCCCACGACCAAGGTGGGAGAGATGGGGAAAAATTATGCGCTGCAGACCTCCACGCGCTGGATGAAGCGGAACATGGATACCGTGCACCTCTTGCGGCGGAGCAAAAACGATGCTGACACCACCGCCATGGTCAAGCTACTCGACCACCTAGGGTGGGTGGGTCTTTCTACTTTCAGCGTCGCTCTCGTGGTCCTCCGTGCAACCACGCCCATGAAGGTCCCCACCACAGCCGACGGAAAGCAGACCGGCATCAAGGTTCTGGACAAGCCACAGTACAGGAAGCTGGCCTTTGCGTGGGGCGTTGTCTTGGCGGGCTATGCCGACCCTGAATGGGGAAAGGAGATCTTCGGTGACTTGTGGGAGGAGCAGGCTGAGAAGGTCGGCTTGGAGGCTGAGGCGACCGCGGGAGCAAGGGCGGAGAGCTCCGGCACTGGGAAACGCAAGAGGGCGGGCTGAGGGTAGTCCGTCCATGTTCGACTTGTGGGGCGGGCTGAGGGTGGTGCGACCGAGGGTGGGCTGACGGTGGGCTGAGGGTTGGCTGAGGGCGGGCTGAGGGTGGGCTTAGGGTGGGCTGAAGGTGGGCCGTGGGTGTCCGACTAGTGCTTGTGAAACGACATGGATTTTTTTTTACTTTTGCCAATGTTTGACCGACTAGTTGTTCAATTTTATGTCTCTTGTAAATGCATCAAACCGACTTCACAATGAAAGCGACGATCATGTTCAAAATCGCTAAACAGGAGAGGCAAAATAGAGCTACACAACAAGACGCACAAGCGACCCTAACCAAAGTCGGAGTGCCTGCTAGGTCTTTGTCAGAGAGCCTGCAGCGTTTGCACAAACGCCAACCATGACAACAGCAGTCGCGCCAGCGTTTGTCGACCTATGCGTTAGCCGCCTGCTTCCCTTTGTGCTGCCCCCTCGCCCCCCTGTCCCGAACAATCGTCTTCATCTCGGCGTCAATAGGCAAAACTATGCCGCAAGCTTTGAGTTTAGGCCCGCCGACACAACAGTCTCCACAGAAGGCGAGGTTTTTGATCATGATCGTCGGTACCCTGATGACGCCGACGATGTGCCACGTAGCCGTCGAACGATGAAACAGCGACCGCGATGCAGTAGGCGGCCTCAGACTTGTCCATTGACCGGCAAATGTTACGGCTCTTCTTCCCAAACTTCAGCTCGTCGTGGTCGCGCATCCCGGCCCTCAGGCAACGACCTCAGCACAGCGCCTTGCAGGTCCTTCGTTACCGTGTCGGCGACCTCTCCTACGACGACCTCCCAAGACGACGCCCGTTGAAACACCACCTCAATGAGGATCTTACACCGACTCGCGAACTCGGAGGACGCTCCAAGCACAGTGGCTGCCGCCCCCCCTTTGCCGGCCGCTGCTTCCGCCGTGGCATTGGTCTCCAAAAAGTACCACACCGCGCATGCAGTCCCGGCGAGGATCTCGGATAACAGCTCCGACTTGACGTTTTTGGCCACAGGTGCGAAGGCGGCACACATCGAAGCACGTGCGATCATGTCACTCGCCATCTTATTCTTTGCCGCCTTCTCGTCCTTGGTCGACTCCGGAAGGTCGCTGAACCACACCGCTGGACGAAGAGCTACCATGAGAACTGCGCGGTCGGCGGCGGTTATCCTGTTGTACTCCGCGACCACCTCTTGGAACCTGCGAAACACAGCAGCACGACCCACCGTCACTGACCAACCCACGCATACCGACCGAAACGAGCACTTAATTGAGCACTTGCTAAGCTTACCTGTCGCGGAAGACGTTTGCACCTTGGCTCCATATGACCGTCCACATGCCGCCCGGAATCAATCGAACCACATTCCAGTCTGACTTATACTGCTCCATCACATCCTCCTTGACACCACTGAAATCAACGAGAATCACGTCGCTCACGTAGCCGTCGAACGATGAAACAGCGACCGCGATGCAGTAGGCGGCCTCAGACTTGTCCATTGACCGGCAAATGTTACGGCTCTTCTTCCCAAACTTCAACTCCGACACGGCCAGCCCCGTCTCCTTGTCAACGCGGACACCTCAACCCTTCCGACCCGGCGTGGACGCTTTAGACGTCCCCTTGGAAGAGCTGGCCTTTGCCTTGCCCTTGCGCTTTTGCTTCCCGTCGCCGACCTCACCGAGTGTGGCCGGGGGGGATTTGGCGCCAGTCGTGCTAGGGTCCTCCGCAGGTGCAGACGAGGCGGCTGGTGTAGTTTCTCCCACAGTGGGAGCTGCTGCTTGTAGTTTCTCCCGCATGACCTCGATTTTGGGGTCTGGCATCACGATACTAGCGAGAATGTCGGGGTCCACCCCGCCGGCCTCTTCCACCATTCCCCACATAGACGTCTCCCCCATTGTGACGCTCGGCCCTACAGCCGCCGCCATGACGTTTGCTGCCTCTGCTCCTTGGTCGACCGCTTGGTTGCTGGGCGTCGGAGGGATTTTCGGGGTTTTCTGATTCTGATCCCCGAACCATTTCAGGTACTCCTTGAACGATGGCCTCCGAGCGATTAGAGCCTCGACCGCCTGTGAAACTCCAGCCTTAGGGATCAGTTCTACGCCGACCATGCCGGCCCCATGAACGGGTGAGCTGGCCGCACCGGCAGTGCCCGTGGTAGGCAGAGGCGGGTTCGGCAACGACACGGTCCCCTGGGCAGTACCCGCTTTGGTCGGCGCTGGTACCGTCGACGACACAATCACCAATGTGGCAGCCTCGACCACGCCGCTGGGTAGGACGCCTGTCGCTCACTGCTCGGGGCGGCGAGCCGTGCCGTGATGCCACACGATCGCGCGCTACTGGCACTCGCCGTTATCATCGCAGTGTGGGGATGCTGGCCCGCCCCGGCCTGCTCGACATGATGTCCGACCACCGCTGCTGGGTGCAAGAGCTCGTTGGCCAGCCGTGCTGTGACGCCACCCGGTCGCGCACTACTGGCACTTGCCGTTATCGTCGCGGTGTGGGGATGCTGGCCTGCCCCGGCCGGCTCGACATGCTGTCTGACCACCACTGCTGGGCGCAAGAGCTCATCAACCATGATCGCCGTGACGCCACCCGGTCGCGCGTATTGTGCAGTCACCGTGCTCATCGACGGGTGAAGATGCTGGCTCGCAACGGGCTGTCCGCCTTGCTGGCCGACCACCACTGCGGGGCGCAACAGCTCGTCGGCCAGTAACGCCGTGACGCCACCTGGTCGCGCATCATGTGCAGTCGCCGTGCTCGCCGAGGGGTGAAGATGCTGGCCCGCAATTGGCTCCACGCCCTGCTCGCCGACCACCGCTGCGGGGCGCAGGAGGTCGTCGGCCAGCTGCGCTGTGACATCGGTCGGTCGCGTAGTTGCCGTACTCGTCGAGGGTTGAACATCCTGGCCCGCAACGGGCTCCCCGCCCTGCTGGCCGACCACCACTGCGAGGTGCAAGAGCTCGTCGGCCATCTGCGCCGTGCCGCCGCTCAGTCGAGCGCCTTGTGCAGTCGCCGGACTGGCCTCGGGCTGCGGATTCTGGTCCGCCAATGGCTGCCAGCCCTGCTTCCCGACCACGGATGCCCCTCCCGGGAGCTCGTCGGCCAGATTCGCCTGGCCGCAGCTCGGTGGCGTGTCGTGTGCGCTCGGCGGATTGGTCGCAGCCTTTAGCTGCTGGTCCCCCACGGGCTGTCCGCCGGTCTTCCCGACCACCGAAGCTGGATCCTGGAGCACGTCGTCGACCTGTCAAAAATCGCTCGGTCGCGTGCCAAGTCTCTCTTCCAGCAATTCGTGGACGCCAGAGACCCGAACATACGGAGCGGCAGGAAGTTCCACGGCCACACCGCGTTTCACCGCAGGTCCTCTGCTTTGCTTAGTGCTGCTGGTCTGCTCGCCGGTCAGGGATCTTTCGTCGGCGACCCTTTTCCCGCACTGCCTTGGCGCCGGCCCATGCTCTTTGGCGGTTGAGCGACCGCCGTGCATCACCGACACGAGAGTAGTTGGGAGGAGGCTAAACCCGGCGGTACTAAGGCCCTATTGGGTCGTGGAGGTGACCACCTTCACCAGGTCGTCCCTAAGCTCTTGAACGACTTTCGCAGTCATGGCGGCGGCGATTCCCTGGGCCTCGCTCTCCATGGCGGCCTTCACCTCGGCAGGAACGACGGTTTTGATCTTCTCGCCCAGAGCATCTGCCACACCTCGCAACAGCAGGACGTTGTCTTCCCATCGCCTACTGTTCACAACAGCAGCCGTCAAGTGCAAGGCCTGTACGATGGGCAGCCACTTCGTGATCTTGAATTCTACGAGGGAGCCGCGATAGTTCACCGCCTCCTGTACAACCTCCCTCATAGCGTCCACCGCCATTTTGAGGCTCCTCCTCGACGTCTGCTCGTGAGAGGCCACGCGGTCGGCGACCGTCGTGAGCTTGTTCGCGGCCGAGTTGACCACGCCGAATAGCATATCCATCCGGGCCATCTGGTACTCCAGCCTCTTCTCCGCCACCAGCTTCTCCTCCCTCAGCTTCTTGTTCTCCCTCTCCGCCGCCTTCAGATGCACAATAGCCGCCTTTGACGCCATCCTAGTCGTGGTCGAGCCGACGCTCCCCCGCGCCTTCTTGCCCGACTTGGGTCCGCTGCCACCACTCTTATCCGCAACCTTCTCACCGACGAACTGTACTGCCTCCTCTTCACCGGTGACCATCACGACGTCGTCCTCACGCTCCTCGTCCTCCTCCTCCTCGTCTGAGTCACCGTCCTGCTCCCCGCCCCCCTCCTCGTCCTCCCCCTCGTGCTCCTCCTCGCCGCCATCTGTGGGTCCGTGCCCGCCAGAGTGCGACCCCGCCGTAGCCTCCTCAGCCTCCCCACCTAGAGCGATGCCGATTCCGACGCCACGACCTACGGTTGACGCTTCCCGTGTGTTCAGCGCGGCCATCTCCAGGACCCTCACCAACTCCAGTCGGAGCACCTTCACGCCGACCAGCTTTGGGCTCTCGACGATGAGCGGGTCGTAGCTGCGATGCACGTCATCCATATGGTCCAACGACCATGTGAACACGTTGACTAACAGCAGCCCCGTGCCGGCGACCTCCTGCCTGAGGATGTCGGGCAATTTCTGTATCAACATCCAAAGCACATATCGACGACGATAAGGGTGAGTCCACGGCTCGACGACGATAGCCCAGGCGATAAGGCGACATCGAAGTCGGAAACTCACATCACGGATGGGGGCGACAAGACTCTCCAGACGAGGGGAGAGGACTTTGGCGGAAGGAGCCTTACCGTCCACTTCCTTCCCTCACGGCTTAACTCCGCCTTCACGACTTCGCCGAAAAGTCTGCGCACGTACGAGACGGAAAAGAGCCATCAGACACGGCGGCATAATCGCCATTAAGGAGCAGCGCGACTAGCCAGCGACGTTGTCCCACCTCAAAACCTTGGCCGCCTCCTCCTCGTGCAGCTTGGAGGAGGTATTGGGGTCGAGGTGGCGGTATAAGGTCTCGATTTGCTCCTCATCGGGCAAAAGCAGGTCGCCAGGGCGCACAACAAGCAGGACGCTGCAGTGCCTGCCGGGAAGAGGTCTGCCCCTGCACACACCAGAGGCATGACGAAGACATTCAGGGTTCTGTCCAGGAAGAACAAACAACGCGGTCGGCGAGGATCAAACCTCACAGGCGCGGAACACTCACGCGGTGCACAAGGGAATGGCGAGGGCTTCGAAGTCGAAGGCCGTCTTGAAAATCAGATAGTTCGGCTTCGACGCCGTCCTAGCGGCGCGAAGACTCGCAGCACACATCAGGGCCATCCTGCCAGCTTTTCCGAAGCGATCGAGCTCGTACCTGGGAGAAGCAGGGGCAAAAAGGCGAGAGCGAAACACTTGCGAGGTGAGCTACAATCCATGCCGGGCGCCGGGGTATACAGCCGACAGCAAGACAAGCGGAATCGGACGAAGGGTTCGCACGACGGCGACGTTGCCGGCAGCAAGACCGACGTCGCCGACGAAGGGTCCATGTTCGACGACCAGCAAACTAGTTAATAAGACGACCAAGCGCTACGACGACCATCATGGACGGACATCGTCGACCACGCGGGGAGCCGACGAGGCCAAGGTCGACCTAGAAACGATGCCGACGTAAACACACTGAACCCTTTAAGGAACAAGGAAATAGGGATGTGCGCTCACGCGAGGCCGAGGTCGAAGCAAGGTTCTGTGAACTCGGCCTTCTCATCGCGAAGGACTTCGTAGGCCTTCATCTCAAGCGTCACTATGTACCCAGCGCTGCCCACAGGCACGTAGAGGGGGAAGTCGGCCGCAGCCAGCTCTATCCTACCGTTCGCCACGATAGGGATGAGAGAACCCAGGACCAAAGGGGAGGAACGCGGAGAGCTGACAGGGAGGCAGAGAAAATCGGAAAGCAAAGTTGGAACGGAGAAATGATGGATGGAATCAGACTCCCCATCATGAAATGGGCGTGTGCTGCCGGTCACCCACTCTGCCGCTTAGGGAAGAAGCAGTTCGTGGCCGAGGGCGAGCCTCCGGTTTCGGCCCGAACCGGGCCTGCCCTCGAGGACGAGGGTTCGAGGGGGGGGGGGGGGGGGGGGGGGGGTGTGGGCCGTGCATGGGGGTGGTTGGGGTGGCGAGAGCGAGCCACGTGTCCCCTCCCGAGGGGCCAGCGATGTTGACGAGGGTGGGGCCGGGCCCTATGAATTTCGCATCCAACCCTCCTGCTCGGCGAGGGCAGCCCGAGAGGGTTACTAGGGCGTCGCGGGCAACGCGAAGCGAATGTCCGCCTCCGTGAAGGGGTTACTAGGCCCCTCGTCGCTCGCGCACCAGTTCGCCACCCATTGGTTGTAATGTGGGGTTCTGTAGGAATTCGGGGTGGGGGGCCGGGGCGGGGGTCGTGGGCAGAGCCCCGCCCCGCGCCAGCCTGGCGGGGGATTCATGCGAGGGATCCACAATACTGTCAAACTCCACTGCGCATATCCTCCCTCCTTATTCAGCCATTACATTTCTCCCGAAGAGCCTCCCTTCCTTCACGTAATCCAATCTTTAGTATTTTTTTCTCCCGGTCGATAAGAGTTCATGCTGATGATCTTGGTGGATTCGAACAGCTCCTCTGCCCTGAGTCTTTTGAGCACTTTTTCCTTCCATTCTGCAGGTGTCGCCTCAAACGCTTTCAGCGCCCATCTCCTCGTCTCTTTTCTGCCCAGCTCTTTGCTGAGCGTTGCTTCATCCTTCAATGCTCTGCTCCCGTCCTGATCTTTCCGGATTAAATCTCTGAGTGTGATGTTTTTTCAGGCAACCCGAGCCTTTTTGCCCTCAACTTCCCCTTTCCCCTACTTCTCCCCAACTCCCCTCCCCACCTCCCGCTTCTCCCTACCATCCCAACCATGCATCGCTCTGCCATCCTTCTCCCCCCCTGCATCACCAGGACGTGCTAGCGCTGATAGACTTTGGCTTCACAGGCACAGCAGACAACGACAGTGAGAGAGAGCCAAACCCCACTTCCCCTTTCCCCAACTTCTCCCCAACTCCTCTCCCCCACTTCCCCCTCCTCCTGTCGTCCCCCTCCATGCATGGCCAGGACGTGCTAGCACTGATGGACTTTGGCTTCACAAGTACAGCAGACAATAACAGCGAGAGTGACCCTAACCTGCCTCCAAGCAAGCCACTACCAAAAACTGCCTCTTCCGCTACTGCTGCCGATGCTTCTGCTGGCGCTGCTGCTGTTGGGGTTGGTGGTGGTATTGGTGGCGGCAATGGTGCGGGTGCTGCTGGTTCTGGGGGCGCCGCTGCTGCTGGTGGTGGAGGGAGGAAGGGCTCAGGGGGGAAAAAACTATGGGGGTTTGGGGGTGGGGGAACTGGGATGGGGGAACTGGGGTGGGGGGGATGGGTGTAGGGAGGGCGGGAGGGGAGAGGGGAGCGGATGGGGGAATGGCGCCGGCGGCACTAGCGGTGCTGATATCATGGATGCATATAGATGACCTGGCTGCAGGGGAGGCCGAGTTGAGTGTGTGAGATGGTATTTGGTAGGGGAGGAGGAAAGTGCGAGATGGCAGGCCTTTTGAGTCAACTCAACAGGTGGCGCCGGTGGCGCTGGCGGTGCTGATATCGTGGTTGCTCATAGATGAGCTGGCTGCAGGCGAGGCCGAGGTGAATGTTTGAGATGGTATTTGGAGAAGGGTGAGGGGAGAGAGACTAGCCTTAAAAAGGCGGAGGCTCAAGGCAATAGCGTTCGTGGTTTCTAAGGGGAGAATGAGATTGGATGATTCGTTACATAGTGGATCGAGGGATGTATTTCCGAGAGTGAAGTGAGGGCGTGTGCGGGATATGTACGTGGTGTTTTTTGTCAATCTCCTCAAAAGCATACTTAGTTAAACTTCTACAATCACAAACCGTTCTGCTGCCATCCTGCTCCCCTGCCTTTATGGCCACCAGGTGGGGTCACGCAGGCAGCAAGAGGTGGTGATGTGGCGCATGCCGGGATTCTCCCAAGCCCTGCTCATTGAAGCCCGTAGACAGACCAGCCGGGCCTGCTCATAACGCGGACAGAGATGATGGGGGTGATGGGGGTGAGTGGGGTGAAAGGCAACGAAGAGTTTACGGGGGAGGGAGAGAGGCAGGGGGAGAGGGAGGGAGGGCGCAGGGGGAGGGAGAGGGGCGGTGGGGGAGTGTAGGGGGTGGTGGTGTTGGTGGTGGTGTTGGCGGCGGTGGGGGTGGCAGTGATGGGTTTGTTGGGAGAGGCACAGAGAAAGGAGGGAGCCCTGCAAGGAAGGATGTAGCAGGAGAATGAGGAGGAGGAGGAGCAGGAGGAGGAGTAGGAGGGGAGGGTGGTGGAACTAGCCTAGGCTCCCCTGTAACTGCGTCTCGAGCAACTGTAACATCAGCACCACCTACACGAACGCCATCAGTAGCGGCAGAGCAGCAGGAATAACACCAGCAGCAGCAGCAGTGGCGGCGGCGGCAGTAGCGGCAGCGGATGGGTGGAGTGAGGGGCTGAGTGAAGAAGGGCGGAAGAATGAGAGGCGGTTGTAGGAGTGCCTTGCCATGCCGCCTCACCTGCTGGATGCTCTTCTAGAGACGGTCCTAATAGGCATGGGGCCAGGTGAGAGGTTTAGGGTTTGGGAAGGTTGGAGTTGCAGGGAGTGTGGCTGCAAGAGTGCCTTGCCATCGCCTCAACTGCTGGGTGCTCTTCTGGAGCCGGTCTTAACAGGCATGGGGCAAGGCGAAGTGAGAGGCTTAGGGTTTGGGAGGGTTGGAGTTGTAGGGAGTTTGGGTGTAGGAGTACCTTGCTGTGGCGCCCCACCTGGTGGATGCTTTGTCGGAGACCGTCTTTACAGGTGTGCGGCAAGGTGAGGAGGAGATTACTTGGAAAGGATGGAGTTGGAAGGAGTGGGTTTGGAGGGGTGCATTGCAATGGTGCCTCACCTGCTGGATGCTCTTCTGGAGTCAAATTTAGCATACATGGGGTAGGGTGAGGGGGGGTGAGTTGGGGGAAGGTGAAGAAGGGGTTTAGAGTTGACAGGAGTGTGGGTAGAGAGGAGTGCCTTACCATGGTACGCATCTGCTAGGTGTACTCCTGGAGACGGTCGTAACGGGCATGGGGCAAGGAGAGAAGGTGAGAAGGGGACGATTCAGGGCGGTGAAAGGGGAGTCATTGTAGTCAAGGTGGGGGGCGAATTAGTTGGTAAGAGATTGAGTGCTGGAAATCCAACTCAAACTGCGTGTCCTCGAGGACGTCACAGCTAAGGGCAAACCCACTCCCGGCGGCCTCAGGACGGGCAGGCGGGGCAGCGACGACACGGGTGGCAAAGTCAAGGCGCCGGGTAGACGCAAAGGCAGTGACAGCAGCAGTGAGAGCAGAGACAGACGACGGAGAGGCACGAGGGTCTGTGACAAGAGAGGCGAGAACGCGCAAGACAACAGGACGCATCGTACGGTAGTAGTCAGTGATAGGGGTAGAGAGGGAGGCTGTAAGAGCCGACTCAGGAGGTGAGGGGAGAACAGACACAGGAGGAGAACGACGAGGACTGGAACGAATCAAGGCGGTGCGGAGGTCGGTAAGAGGAGACGAAGGACGAGCACACGGGGGATAACGAGCGGTCCAGTCGTGCGAGACAATAGGAGGAGGTGATTGTGACTGAGGAGGAGGGAAAACAGCCGGAGACGAGTCCGGAGGAGGAAACGTAGGACCGGAAGCGGGCGATGACTGCGGGTGGACAAGAGGAGGGGAGGGAAAACCAAGGGCCCGAAGGCCACTCACTGGTGTGACCACGGGCTGCGGTGGCTGCTGCGGCTGCTGCTGCTGCTGCTGCTGCTGCTCCATCAGGTCCAACTGCCGCAACTCCTGCCGATCCTGCTCCAACCGCTCCTGCTCCTCGCGCGCACGCCGGCAGGCCGCCTGAAAACGCGTGTCGTGGCGGTGGGGAGGCGGAGTGCTCTCCGCAGACGTAGTGCCCCCAGCTCCAGTCTCCTCAGTACTAGCACCCCCAGTACCAGTGTCCCCAGAGGGGGTACCACCAGGGTCAGGGTCCCTAGCTCCAGCGCCCCTTGTCCTAGCACCCCCAGTACCAGGCGCTCCAACCTCAGCACCCCCAGAACTAGCAGCTCCAGCCCTAGCACCTCCAGTGCCAGCACCCCCAAAACTAGCACCTTCAGTGCCAGCACCTCCAGCTCCAGCACCCCCAAGGCTAGTGCCACCTACGCCAGCACCTCCATCACGCTCTACTACATCGTCACCCGCCTCCCTGACTCTCTTAGCGCAGTCAAGGACCTCCTTCTCGCCCTTGACCCCACAGACCTCACTGTCAACCTGCTCGAGAAGCACCCCCTTGCAGATAAGACCAGCATAGTCGCTGTAGGCGCTTCTCGTGGCACTCCTCGCACTCCCTTCTTTGAGGGGTGTTCCCCCTCCCCCCTTGTCCCCTCTGTCGCTTCTGCTACTGCTGTTGACTTCCTTCGTGCTGAGGAGGTCGTGGCTGCGTCTGCTCCTACTGAGAGGCGCCGCAGCAGCAGGGGCAAGGGAGGCCAGGGTGGTAGGGGTGGCAGCGGTGGAGGCGGTGGTGGGGGCGGTGGAGGCGGTGGTGGTGGCGGTGGTGGCGGAGGGAGTGCTGGTGGGAGTGGAGGCGTTGGTGGCGGCGGTGGTAGCGGCAGTAGTGGTGGCACTCGGGGTGGAGCTGTTCAAAGGGGAGGTTCTGGCTGTGGCCAGAGGCAGTAGCAGCAGCGTCCGAGCGAGACCCCTATGCCCCAGCAGCTTCGTGAGTGCTTTGCTCTGCATGGGGCATCAGGGGGTAGTGTTCGCTGCCTATATGTCATTCGCACAGGTGGCTGCGCTAGTCAGACATGCAGGCGCTAGCTAGTTCTCCCCAAAATGCTCACTCAACACTGCTGCTTCTCCCGTCTTGATGATGCCTGGCGCGAAGATTTTCCCGACGCGACTGAGCTTCCTCGCTTGCTAGAGCTGCTTAGGTAAGGTGTTGATATCTTTGCTCTTGACTATGATGCTATCCTTGCTGCCATGTATGCATTGACTGTTAGTGCTGAGGGTGATTGTTACCTGTGTAGGCCGCCCGACCCAGATATAGAGGCTGCTGCTCTTGATGCTAGTGAGTCTGCTCTCCCTGGTACTGTGCCTGCTGAGGCCTTGCACACCTTCACGCTTGACTTAGGTGCTTCCCGCTGTTTCACCGTCACACCTTCACCTTCTTCGCGACAGTACCACAGTCACACCACTCCCTACACATGTTGCTGTTAGACTGGCTGACCCCTCAGGGGGCCCAGTTCTTACACGTTCCTCCACTATTCTCCCCTGTCAGGCGGTTCCGTCCGGCTCACTCTCAGGTCTTCACCTCCCCTCGTTCTCTACAAACTTGGTGAGTACCGCTGCCCTCCAGGATGCGATTGTCAATACCACCACTCCTATGGGCCAGCGTGTGTCGATCTGCACGTGTACACGGACGGGCCGTCACCTGGCCACGTTCACCCGTCGGCCTGGGTCGAGTCAGTACACACTGACTATTGAGCCTCCTCAGGTAGCTGCTTCTGCGTCCGCGTTAGGTCAGCTTGCGGCCCCCTGCTTGTGTCGCGCCCTGTCGCACCAGTCTCTCCTTTGGCACCACCGCCTTGGTCACCCCTCCGTGGCACGCCTCCGTGGCATGCACTTCTGTCTCCCTGTCTCCGGTCTTCCCAGGTCTCTCCCTCCCCTCCCACCCTCGCCTGCCCCTCCCTGCCTTCCCCGTGTCGAGGGGCGGCAGCGCGCTGCTCCTCACTCCTCCTCGTTTCCCCCGACGACTGCTCCCCTGCAGACTCTACACATGGACGTGTGGGGCCCAGCCCGCGTCCATGGACAGAGCCGCGGGCGATACTTTCTGCTGGTTGTTGACGACAACTCGCGTTACACCACGGACTTCCCCTTGTGCACCAAGGGGGAGGTCCCTTATGTCTTGATCCCTTGGATCCGCGGTGTCCGTCTCCAGCTCCGCGAGCGGTTCGACATGGACCTTCTGGTCCTGCGTCTGCACTCTGACAGAGGTGGTGAGTTTGCCTCCGACCTCTTGCGGGACTTTTGTCATGGG